GCTCTTGGACCAGGCAAGCTCCTGGACCACGCGAGCTCCTAGACCACGCAAGCTCTTGGACCAGGCACGCTCGTGGACCAGGCTAGCTCTTGGACCAGGCAGGCTTCTGGACCAAGCAAGCTATTGGACCACGCAAGCTCCTGGACCAGGCAAGCTCCTGGACCAGGCAAGCTCCTGGACAAGGCAAGCTCCTGGACCATGCAAGCTAACGGACCAAGAAAGCTCCTAGACAAGGCAAACTCCTGGACCAGGAATGCTCGTGGAACAGGCAAGCTCCTGGACCTGGCAAGCTCCTGGACCAGGCAAGCTCCTAGACCAGGATAGCTCCTGGACCAGGCAAGCTCCAGGACCAGGCACGCTCCTGGACCATGCAATCTCGTAGACCAGGCAAGCTCCTGGACGAGGCAAGCTTCTGGACCAGGCAAACTCCTGGACCAGGCACGCTCCTGGACCAGGCAAGCTCTTTGACCAGGCAAGCTCCTGGACCAGGCAAGCTCCTGGACCAGGCAAGCTCCTAGACCAAGCAAGCTCCTGGACCAGGCAAGCTCCTCGACCACGCAAGCTCTTGGACCATGCAAGCTCCTAGACCAGGCACGCTCCTGGACCATGCAAGCTCCTAGACCAGGCAAGCTCCTGGACCATGCAAGCTCCTAGACCAGGCAAGCTCCTGGACCAAGCAAGCTTCTGGACCAGGTAAAGTCGTGGACCAGGCACGCTCCTCGACCACGCAAGCTCCTAGACCAGGCACGCTCCTGGACCATGCAAGCTCCTAGACCAGGCAAGCTCCTGGACCAAGCAAGCTTCTGGACCAGGTAAAGTCGTGGACCAGGCACGCTCCTGGACCACTCAAGCTCCTGGACCAGGCAAGCTCTTGGACCACGCAAGCTCCTGGACCAGGCAAGCTCCTGGACCAGGCAAGCTCCTAGACCAGGATAGCTCCTGACCAGGCAAGCTCCTGGAACAGGCAAGCTCCTGGACCAGGCAAGCTCCTGGACCACGCAAGCTCTTGGACCAGGCAAGCTCTGGGACCTGGCAAGCTCCTGGACCAGGCAAGCTACTGGACCAGGCAAGCTCACGGACCAAGAAAGCTCCTGGACAAGGCAAGCTCCTAGACAAGGCAAGCTCTTGGACCACTCAAGCTCCTGGAGGAGGCAAGCTCCTGGACCAGGCAAGCTCTTGGACCACTCAAGCTCCTGGACCAGGCAAGCTCCTGGACCAGGCAAGCTCCTAGACCAGGATAGCTCCTGGACCAGGCAAGCTCCTGGAACACGCAAGCTCCTGGAACAGGCAAGCTCCTTGACCAAGCAAGCTCCTGGACCAGGATAGCTCCTGGACTATGCAAGCTCCTGGACCAGGCACGCTCCTGGACCATGCAAGCTCCTAGACCAGGCAAGCTCCTGGACCAGGCAAGCTTCTGGACCAGGCAAACTCGTGGACCAGACATGCTTCTGGACCAAGGAAGCTCTTGGACCAGGCAAGCTCCTAGACCAGGCAAGCTCCTGGACCAGGCAAGCTCCTGGACCACGCAAGCTCTTGGACCAGGCAAGCTCTTGGACGAGGCAAGCTCCTGGACTACGCAAGCTTTTCGACAAGGCACGCTCCTGGACCAGGCAAGCTCGTGGACGAGGCAGGCTTCTGGACCAAGCAAGCTCTTGGACCACGCAAGGTCCTACACCAGGAAAGCTCCTGGACCAGGCAAGCTCAAAGACCAGACAAGCTCAAAGACCAGGCAAGCTCTCGGACCAAGCAGGCTCGTGGACCAGGCAAGCTCCTGGACCAAGCAAGCTCCTGGACCAGGCAAGCTCCTGGACCAGGCAAGCTCTTGGACCATGAAAGCTCCTGGACCAGGCAAGCTCCTGGACCAGGAAAGCTAACGGACCAAGAAAGCTCCTGAACAAGGCAAGCTCCTGGACCAGGCATGCTCGTGGAACAGGCAAGCTCCTAGACCAGGCAAGCTCCTGGACTAGGCAAGCTCATGGACCAGGATAGCTCCTGGACCAGGCTAGCTCCTGGACTAGGCACGCTCCTAGACCATGCAAGCTCCTAGACCAGGCAAGCTCTTGGACCAGGCAAGCTTCTAGACCAGGCAAACTCGTGTACCAAGCACGCTCCTGGACCAAGCAAGCTCCTTGACCAGGCAAGCTCCTAGACCAGGCAAGCTCGTGGACAAGGCAAGCTTCTAGACCACGCAAGCACTTGGACCAGGCAAGCTCTTGGACCAGGCAAGCTCCTGGACCAGGCAAGCTTCTGGACCACGAAAGCTCCTGGACCACGCAAGCTCTTGGACCAGGCAGGCTCGAGGACCAGGCAAGCTCCTGGACCAGGCAAGCTTCCGGACCAGGCAAGCTCCTCGACCACGAAAGCTCCGGGACCAGGCAAGCTCCTGGATCAGGCTCGCTCGTGGACCAGGCACACTCCTGGTCCAGGCACGCTCTCAGACCAGGCAAGCTCCTGGATCAGGCACGCTCGTGGACGAGGCAAGCTAACGGACCAAGAAAGCTCCTGGACAAGGCAAGCTCCTGGACCAGGCACGCTCGTGGAATAGGCAAGCTCCTGGACCAGGCAAGCTCCTGGACCAGGATAGCTCCTGGACCAGGCAAGCTCCTGGACCGGGCAAGCTCCTGGACCATGCAAGCCCCTATACCAGGCAAGCTCCTGGACCACGCAAGCTCTTGGACCAGGCAAGCTCGTGGATCAGGCACGCTCCTGGACCAGGCAAGCTCCTGGACCAGGCAAGCTCCTAGACCAGGCAAGCTCCTGGACCAGGCAAGCTCCTGGACCACGCAAGATCTTGGACCAGGCAAGCTCTTGGACCAGGCAAAGCTCCTGGACCAGGCAAGCTCTCGGACCAGGCAAGCTCCTGGACCACGGGAGCTCCTAGACCACGCAAGCTCTTGGACCAGGCACGCTCGTGGACTAGGCAAGCTCTTGGACCAGGCAGGCTTCTGGACCAAGCAAGCTATTGGACCACGCAAGCTCCTGGACCAGGCAAGCTCCTGGACCAGGCAAGCTCCTGGACAAGGCAAGCTCCTGGACCAGGCAAGCTAACGGACCAAGAAAGCTCCTAGACAAGGCAAACTCCTGGACTAGGAATGCTCGTGGAACAGGCAAGCTCCTGGACCTGGCAAGCTCCTGGACCAGGCAAGCTCCTAGACCAGGATAGCTCCTGGACCAGGCAAGCTCCTGGACCAGGCACGCTCCTGGACCATGCAATCTCGTAGACCAGGCAAGCTCCTGGACGAGGCAAGCTTCTGGACCAGGAAAACTCCTGGACCAGGCACGCTCCTGGACCAGGCAAGCTCTTTGACCAGGCAAGCTACTGGACCAGGCAAGCTCCTGGACCAGGCAAGCTTCTAGACCAAGCAAGCTCCTGGACCAGGCAAGCTCCTCGACCACGCAAGCTCTTGGACCAGGCAAGCTCTTGGACCAGGCAAGCTCCTGGACCAGGCAAGCTCCTCGACCACGCAAGCTCCTGGATCACGCAAGCTCTTGGACGTGGCACGCTCCTGGACCAGGCAAGCTCTTGGACCACGCAGGCTTCTGGACCAAGCAAGCTATTGGACCACGCAAGCTCCTGGACCAGGCAAACTCCTGGACCAGGCACGCTCGTGGACCGTGCACGCTCCTGGACGAGGCAAGCTCTTGGACCAGGCAGGCTCGTGGACCAGGCAAGCTCCTAGACTAGGCAAGCTCCTGGACCAGGCAAGCTCCTTGACCAGGCAAGCTCCTGGACCAAGCAAGCTCCTAGACCAGGCACGCTCGTGGACCATGCACGCTCTTGGACCAGGCAAGCTCTTGGACCAGGCACGCTCTTGGAACAGGCAAGCTCTTGGACCAGGCAATCTCCTGGACCAGGCAAGCTCCTGGACCAGGATAGCTCCTGGACCAGGCAAGCTCTTAGACCAGGCACGCTCCTGGACCATGCAAGCTCTTAGACCAGGCAAGCTCTTGGACCACGCAAGCTTCTGGACCAAGCAAACTCGTTGACCAGGCACAAACCTGGACCAGGCAAGCTCCTGGACCAGGCAAGCTCCTAGACCAGGCAAGCTCCTGGACCAGGCAAGCTCCTGGACCAGGCAAGCTCCTGGACCAGGCAAGCTCCTAGACCAAGCAAGCTCCTGGACCAGGCTGTTATAGTCACAGTAGGCTCCAATGTGCCTAAAACGAAAGATAGAGTGCACAGTCGGATTTCTGCACAGCGGCTTCAAACGTTCATAACGTTTTGGTCACAGCTCCAAATGACTTGATTCAACTTGGATCTGGAGCGCCTTATTGTCGCCTACGATAGGCAATTTAGATCGCACGATTTGACCAAGTATTGACGACACAGGTTTGGTTTGAACGAACGGCACTATGGCAGCCACTATGGTCTTAGAACACAAGATAGGAAAGGTTAGGAAGAGTTAGGAGTTGGGAATGACTCCCAGCTCCTACAAACCCCAAGAGCCGAGGTACAGTGATGTGGAACAGTGCCACACTGTCCCCAACCACGAAGGGTCTCGAAACTACCCTTCACTAGGGCCTACACCAAGTGAAATGTTACACTACACAAAGTAATGTAACTATCTTCAATATCTTGAGGTGTACCCTTTTGGCGAGCTTTGAAATCACTTGTCGATTGACACCAAGGCTCGGCTCTTCATCACAAACTCATCCTTGAGTTCTTGATGGGTCTGCTGCACACACCTGCGACACAGCGAACGTTCGACACAGGACAAAAGAGAAACCGCGCACGACAAAATAGAAACCGCGCGCGAGACACAAACGACCGCGTAACACGCGTCTAGCGATAACTCGCTATTGACTCGACACATACACTCGACATCATGACTCAACATTCACACACAATTATAAGCATTAAATATATATTATCCCATGCCCTCATACCATTCCATAGACACACACACATGCACGCACACGGACAACAAGCCGAGTGCAAACCATAGGGTTGCACCAACAAACTCCCCCTCGGATTGTTGGCCTTAGGATGTGTTGCTCTGTCAGTTCAGAGCCATCCCAGCCAGCTTGCAACACTTCCAATGCTGCTGCTCCACCAGCCTCTTGGTCATCATGTCAGCCGGCTGCCCCGTGGTCTTCACGTAGCGCAACTCAACTTCACCCGCGGTTACCATGCTCCTCGTCCAATGCCACTTCACCCTCATGTGCTTCGTGAGTCCATGTAACACAGGGTTCTTAGCAAGAGCAATGGCACCCTGGCTGTCACAATACAGTGGGGTAGGTCCTTGCTGCTCCTCCCCCAATTCAGCCAACAAACGCCGCTGCCACACAATCTCCCGTACGGCACGGAAGAGTGCCATGTATTCGGACTCCACCGAGCTCAAAGCTTGGTCAACCTGCTTCTTGCTCTCCCAAGCAGTTGGGCCTCCACCAACACAGCATATGAAGCCTCCCACACTTGTCATGTCCTCTGGTTCTGATGCATATGAAGCAACCGAGTAGGCGGTGAGGAACAAACGCCCGGGTTCAACACCATCCGCGCCCTTTTGGCGCCTTTGTGCCGCCGCCGAGTATTGCAGCCCAACGGTCGGTGTTTGGCCAAGATACTTGGACACCCTCATTCCAGCTGCTACATGCTCCTCATTAGGGCATTGCACAACCCTAGCCAGCTGCCCGGTAGCAAACGCGACGTCCGGTCGGGTGTTTACCGCCGCATACATGAGGCTGCCCACCAACGAGTGAAATCGGCGCCTCTCCTCTTCTCCAACGCTCTCCTCCTCTGGCCCCTTCACACACTTGAACCCAGAGGGAAAGGGAGTAGCCACATGACCTTCACTCTGGCCGAAGTTGGCAGCCAACGCCTCCAGGTACTTCCGTTGGTGCACTCGCATGCTCCGCTTCTCCACGTCTCGTTCGATGTGGAGCCCAAGGTAGAAGTTCACGTCACCAAGGGACTTGCACTTGAACTTGTCATGCAGCTTCAGAATCACCTCCTTCACAAGGTCAGAGGAGGGTGAGAATATGAGAATGTCATCCACATAAACCACCATGAAGCTCCTCTGCTCCCCCTCGCCAAGCATGAACAAGGAGTGATCGGCCGTTGAGGGAGTGAAGCCGATCTCCTCCAACACTTCGCGCAGCTTCATGTACCATTGCCTAGGGGCCTGCTTCAGCCCATAGAGGGCCTTCTTCAGCTTCCACACTCTGCCACTACCATCATCAAACCCCTCTGGCTGTGCCATAAAAATCTCCTCCTCAAGGATGCCGTTAAGGAATGCCGTCACAATGTCCATTTGCTTCACCACCCATCCTTTGATGGCGGCTCCCGCGAATAGGGTTCGCAGCGTCGTCGGCTTCACCACAGGGGCAAACAGCTCCTTGAAGTCCACCTTCTCCTTCTGCTGGTACCCCTTGGCTACAAGCCTAGACTTGTAACGCTCGATCTTGCCGTCGGCATCCGACTTGATTTTGAAGAGCCACTTGGACGTTATCGCCGTACGCCCCTCCGGTAGCTCCACCAATTCAAACGTGTCATTCTCCTCGATGCTCTTCAGCTCACTCTCCAAAGCCTTCTTCCACTCCTCAGCATCACTACTCTCCAAAGCCTCCTTGAGAGTTGCTGGTTCTCCCGGCATCTCCACCGGAGAGAAGAACGCGAAGGCACACTCCTCGTAGTCACTCTCCTCATCGTCTCCGACCATCATTGCCGCTCCGGCCAGGGCTGTCTTGCCTTGCTTTCCAAGTGCATCATAGGTCAGCCTATTAGGGGGTTGAACTCTCCTCCTCCCCCTTCCTTCCTCCTCAGCTGCAGCGACTTGAAGGCCTTGGCGTTGCTGCGGTGTGGCTCGATTCCGTGGAGCACTTGTGGTACGGGAAGGGAGTGACGGTGCACGCTCACTCACTTGCTGCACCTCCTCCTCTTCTTCCTCTGCATCAGTGGCCTCCTCTCCCCCTTTCACAAGGGAGGATTGCCTCGTGGTTGTGCTGCCGCTGCTCAGCTCCAAAGGCAGCTCCACATGCTCCAAACCGGAACTCTTCACCTCCCCAAACCGCACGCCTATCTTCGCCTCATTCTCCGCCTTCCAATCCTTGTACATGAAGTTCTCCATGAACTTGCAGTCCCTGCTCACCAAGAACTTCTTGGTGAATGGGTCCCAAAGAAGCCATCCCTTGCTGTTTTGAGCCATGCCCAAGTGCACGGCCCACACCGCCTTGGCACCAAGCTTGTTGTGCCGAAGATGCTTAGGCACAAGCACCATGCACATGCACCCGAACACCCGAAGCATATCCACCTTTGGCTTCCTTCCTAGCCACTCCACATAGGGCACCCATTTGTCTGCTCCTACATGAGTCAAGGCTCTGTTCTTGGCCACACATGCGCTCCGCACCGCATCAGGCCAGAAATAGTCGGGTAGCCCGGCTTCAATGAGCAACCCGCGTGCCGCCTCCGTGATTGTGCGGTTCGCTCGCTCAGCGATGCCGTTCATTGCAGGGGAGTATGGCATGGTGAGGGAGTGTCGAATACCATTCTTCTTCAGCCACAACCCAAACTCCTTGCTCAGGAACTCTCCCCCTCGATCGGTGCGGATTGACTTGACTAGACGGTCTTGTTGCCGCTCCACCATCGGGAACCAATCCGCCTTCAACGTTTCAGCCACGTCGCTCTTCTTGGCCAGCACGTACACCCAAGTCATACGGGTGTAGACGTCAACAATAGTGAGGAAGTACTCAGCTCCAGCAGCTCCAAGCTTCAGGGGGCCCACCACGTCCATCACCACCTCATCAAGTGGTGCCTTAGCCGTTGCCTCCGAACTAGAGAATGGGTAACGGGTGAACTTGGCTTGCATGCACGTCGGGCAGCCAAGTACCTCATCGGGCTCCCCCTTCACACGTATGCCAGCAACCATCTCATTCTTCACTAGCTGCTGCAAGATGGGCAGGGCCACATGCCCCATGCGCCGATGCAAGGTGAGCCAATCACACTCCCCCGTAGCCGAAGTTGGATTGGAGAATGCCGCGCTCGCAATAGCGCCCCACATACTCTCTCCGTAGTACTCCTCCGCTGTTGCCTCGGGGTTCTCCTCACCCTTTTGCTGCTCCTTGGTTGCTGCACCACTCTCCTTAGGTTCACTGAACTTGCTGGTCCCTCCAAGATTGCACTTCTTGGACTCCTTCTCCTTAGCGCGACCGTCCGCGCAATCGCCGCTACCAACCGCTCCACCTTTAGTGCTGACGCTTGCTGCCACTTGCCTCTCCTTAGGCATTGGGACCACAGGGATCTGCCACATCTCTTTGTAGACATCTCTGTCCTCATGAAGGTCCCAAAGAATCCGATCGCCAAGCCTTGCGGTGTAGGTCTTGGCTCCCTTCGAGTTAGTGTCCATGCCGGCCTTTGCCAACCGCCGCACGGAAATCAGGTTTGCAGCAAGGCTGGGCACCCAAAGCACGTTCTTGAGGCCCACCATCTTCCCATCAGCACCCTTGAACATGGCCTTCCCCATGCCTTTCACCTCTGCTCACTGCCCCAAAGCCGATGTGACATGCTTCACCGGTGACGGCTCGAGTTCGGTGAGCAAGTCCGGGCGAGGTGTCATGCTATAGGTAGCGCCACTATCAATCACCCAATAGTCCAGGGGGTGTAGGGTCACCTTCCCCACAGCTGCTGGCTCCTCAAAGCCTTCATCCTTCTCTGGACCAGCCGGTACTTGCGTCGACACGAAGTAGAATAGACCCGGGTATCGATCGTCGCTCGAGTCCTTGTCGTTGTCTCCGCTCTTCATGTTTGCAGCTCCGCCACCGCGACCGCCACGGCCTCCACGGCCTCTTCCTCTCCCTCCTCCTGCTCCTCTACCCTCTTGGCCTTGAGCAGGGGTCCAACCATCAGGGAGTTTGTAGCAGTCGCGCCACATGTGTCCGCTCTTGTGGCAATAGTGACACTCGCCGTCGAATCGGCCGCGACCGCGTCCGTAGTTCTTCTCGTCGCTGCCGTAACCGCTCCTCCCACGGCCTCCGCCAAAGTTGCTGCCACCAAACCTTCCTCCCCCTCGTCCTCTGCCTCTTCCTCGACCATATCCACGGCCGATGCTTGCTGCCCCAGCGCCATCCGCACTCGCCAATTCACGGCGGCGGAAATCCTCTTGAAGGATAGCTCGCTTCACGTCTTCAAGCGAGAGGCGGGGCAAGTCACGATTAAGGTTGATGATGAGCGAGGACCATGACTCCGGGAGTAGGGCCAGTAACTTGGTCTTCTTTTGGAGCTCACTATAGTTCAAATCAGCTCCCTCAAGCCGCGTCAACAAGTCGAAGAATTTCTGCACCCCTTCTTCAACCGTTTCATCCTCTTCAATTCGTAACGTCGCCATTTGCCGTTCCAACACCACAGCTACCGCCGCTGTTGCAGGAGCGTGTACACCCTTGAGAGCAGCCCATGCTTTTGGTCCCTTCTCTGGTTCACGCTGGAAGGGCTTGATGTGACGGATTTGGCTGCTCCCCAACGCTTGCCCAAGTAGGAGGTAGCCTTGTGCGCTCTTCCGCACCCACGGGCTCTTCTCCGGGTCGTTCTCGGGACGCTTCTCCGTTCCTTCCATCACCTCCAGCAGGTCATAGTGGTCAAATATGTTTTCCATTCTGAAGGACCACTCAGCAAAGTTGTCACCATTGAACTTGTCAAGGCCAAACACTCTAGGCTCATCCCTAGATGGGCCAACACTTGGTTGCACGGGCGCCATGGCTGAGTCACGGGGTTGGCCTTGAGCTTGGGCTTCTCCTCTGCCACCAGCACCTCTGCCACCCCTTTCATCAGGTCCAGCCATTGTCGAAACTGCTCCGAGGGGCTCTGATACCACTTGTTATAGTCACAGTAGGCTCCAATGTGCCTAAAACGAAAGATAGAGTGCACAGTCGGATTTCTGCACAGCGGATTCAAACGTTCATAACGTTTTGGTCACAGCTCCAAATGACTTGATTCAACTTGGATCTGGAGCGCCTTATTGTCGCCTACAATAGGCAATTTAGATCGCACGATTTGACCAAGTATTGACGACACAGGGTTAGTTTGAACGAACGGCACTATGGCAGCCACTATGGTCTTAGAACACAAGATAGGAAAGGTTAGGAAGAGTTAGGAGTTGGGAATGACTCCCAGCTCCTACAAACCCCAAGAGCCGAGGTACAGTGATGTGGAACAGTGCCACACTGTCCCCAACCACGAAGGGTCTCGAAACTACCCTTCACTAGGGCCTACACCAAGTGAAATGTTACACTACACAAAGTAATGTAACTATCTTCAATATCTTGAGGTGTACCCTTTTGGCGAGCTTTGAAATCACTTGTCGATTGACACCAAGGCTCGGCTCTTCATCACAAAGTCATCCTTGAGTTCTTAATGGGTCTGCTGCACACACCTGCGACACACCGAACGTTCGACATAGGACAAAAGAGAAACCGCGCACGACAAAATAGAAACCGCACGCGAGACACAAACGACCACGTAACACGCGTCTAGCGATAACTCGCTATTGACTCGACACATACACTCGACATCATGACTCAACATTCACACACAATTATAAGCATTAAATATATATTATCCCATGCCCTCATACCATTCCATAGACACACACACATGCACGCACACGGACAACAAGCCGAGTGCAAACCATAGGGTTGCACCAACAAACAGGCAAGCTCCGCGACCACGCAAGCTCTTGGACCAGGCAAGCTCTTGGACCAGGCAAGCTCCTGGACCAGGCAAGCTCTTGGACCAGGCAAGCTCCTCGACCACGCAAGATCCTGGATCACGCAAGCTCTTGGACGTGGCATGCTCCTGGACCAAGCAAGCTCTTGGACGGGGCAGGCTTCTGGACCAAGCAAGCTATTGGACCACGCAAGCTCCTGGACCAGGCAAACTCCAGGACCAGGCACGCTCGTGGACCGTGCACGCTCCTGGACGAGGCAAGCTCTTGGACCAGGCAGGCTCGTGGACCAGGCAAGCTCCTGGACCAGGCAAGCTCCTGGACCAGGCAAGCTCCTTGACCAGGCAAGCTCCTGGACCAAGCAAGCTCCTGGACCAGGCACGCTCGTGGACCATGCACGCTCTTGGACCAGGCAAGCTCTTGGACCAGGCACGCTCTTGGAACAGGCAAGCTCTTGGACCAGGCAATCTCCTGGACGAGGCAAGCTCCTGGACCAGGATAGCTCCTGGACCAGGCAAGCTCTTGGACCACGCACGCTCCTGAACCATGCAAGCTCTTAGACCAGGCAAGCTCCTGGACCAGGCAAGCTTCTGGACCAGGCAAACTCGTGGACCAGGCACGAACCTGGACCAGGCAAGCTCCTGGACCAGGCAAGCTCCTGGACCAGGCAAGCTCCTGGACTAGGCAAGCTCCTAGACCAGGCAAGCTCCAGAACCAGGCAAGCTCTTGGACCAGGCAATCTCCTGGACCAGGCAAGCTCCTGGACCAGGCAAGCTCTTGGACCACGCACGCTCCTGAACCATGCAAGCTCTTAGACCAGGCAAGCTCCTGGACCAGGCAAGCTTCTGGACCAGGCAAACTCGTGGACCAGGCACGAACCTGGACAAGGCAAGCTCCTGGACCAGGCAAGCTCCTAGACCAGGCAAGCTCCTGAACCAGGCAAGCTCCTGGACCAGGCAAGCTCCTGGACCAGGCAAGCTCCTTGACTAGGCAAGCTCTTGACCAGGCAAGTTCATGGACCAGGCACGCTCGTGAACCATGCACGCTCTTGGACCAGGCAAGCTCTTGGACCAGGCACGCTCCTCGAACAGGCAAGCTCCTGGACCAGGCAAGCTCGTGGACCAGGCAAGCTCCTGGACCAGGCACGCTCCTGGACCATGCAAGCTCCTGGACCAGGATAGCTCCTGGACCAGGCAAGCTCTTGGACTACGCACGCTCCTGGACCATGCAAGCTCTTAGACCAGGCAAGCTCTTGGACCAGGCAAGCTTCTGGACCAAGCAAACTCGTGGACCAGGCACAAACCTGGACCAGGCAAGCTACTGGACCAGGCAAGCTCCTAGACCACGCAAGCTCCTGAACCAGGCAAGCTACTGGACTAGGCAAGCTCCTCGACCAGGCAAGCTCCTTGACTAGGCAAGCTCCTGGACCAGGCAAGTTCATGGACCAGGCAAGCACGCTCCTCGAATAGGCAAGCTCCTGGACCAGGCAAGCTCATGGACCAGGCAAGCTTGTGGACCAGGATAGCTCCTGGACCAGGCAAGCTCCTGGACCAGGCACGCTCCTGGACCATGCAAGCTCCTAGACCCGGCAAGCTTCTGGACCAGGCAAACTCGTGGACCAGGCACGCTCTAGGACCAGGCAAGCTCCTGGACCAGGCAAGATCCTAGACCAGGCAAGCTCCAGGACTACCCAAGCTCTTGGACCAGGCAAGCTCCTAGACCAGGCAAGCTCCTGGACCAGGCAAGCTCCTAGACCAGGCAAGCTCTTGGACCAGGCAAGCTCCTGGACCACGCAAGCTCTTGGACCAGGCAAGCTCTTGGACTAGGCAAGCTCCTAGACCAGGCAAGCTTCTGGACCAGGCAAGCCGACGGACCAAGAAAGCTCCTGGACAAGGCAAGCTCCTGGACCAGGCACGCTCGTGGAAAAGGCAAGCTCCTGGACCAGGCAAGCTCCTAGACCAGGATAGCTCCTAGACCAGGCAAGCTCCTGGACCAGGCACGCTCCTCGACCATGCAAGCTCCTAGACCAGGCAAGCTCCTGGACCAGGCAAGTTTCTGGACCAGGCAAACTCGTGGACCAGGTACGCTCCTGGACCAAGGAAGCTCCTTGACCAGGCAAGCTCCTAGACCAGGCAAGCTCCTGGACCAGGCAAGCTCCTGGACCTCGCAAGCTCTTGGACCAGGCAAGCTCTTGGACGAGGCAAGCTCCTGGACCAGGCAAGCTCCTGGACAAGGCAAGCTCTTGGACCATGCAAGCTCCTAGACAACGCAAGCTCTCGGACCAGGCACGCTCCCGGACCAGGCAAGCTCTTGGACCAGGAAAGGTCCTAGACCAGGCAAGCTCCAAGACCAGGCACGCTCGTGGACCATGCACGCTCCTGAACCAGGCAAGCTCTTGGACTAGGCAGGCTCGTGGACCAGGCAAGCTCCTGGACCACACAAGCTCCTAGACCAGGCAAGTTCCTTGACCAGGCAAGCTCCTGGACCTCGCAAGCTCTTGGACCAGGCAAGCTCTTGGACTAGGCAAGCTCCTGGACCAGGCAAGCTCCTGGACCAGGCAAGCTCTTGGACCATGCAAGCTCCTCGACTACGCAAGCTCTCGGACCAAGCACGCTCCTGGACCAGGCAAGCTCTTGGACCAGGCAATGTTCTAGACCAGGCAAGCTCCAAGACCAGGCACGCTCGTGGACCATGCACGCTCCTGAACGAGGCAAGCTCTTGGACCAGGCAGGCTCGTGGACCAGGAAAGCTCCTGGACCAGGCAAGCTCCTGGACCAGGCAAGCTCCTGGACCACGCACGCTCGTGGACTATGCACGCTCTTGGACCAGGCAGGCTCGTGGACCAGGCAAGCTCCTGGACCACACAAGCTCCTTGACCAGGCAAGCTCCAGGACCAGGCAAGCTCCTGGACTAGGCTCGCTCGTAGACCAGGCACGCTCCTGGACAAGGCACGCTCTTGGACCAGGCAAGCTCGTGGATCAGGCACACTCCTGGACCAGGCAAGCTCGTGGACCAAGCAAGCTCCTCGACCATGCAAGCTCTTGGACCAGGCAAGCTCCTGGACCAGGCAAGCTCCTGGACCAGGCAAGCTCCTAGACCAGGCAAGCTCTTGGACCAGGCAAGCTCCTGGACCAGGCAAGCTCCTGGACCAGGCAAGCTCTTGGACCAAGAAAGCTCCTGGACAAGGCAAGCTCATGGACCAGGCACGCTCGTGGAACAGGCAAGCTCCTGGACCAGGCAAGCTCCTGGACCAGGCAAGCTCCTGGACCAGGATAGCTCCTGGACCAGGCAAGCTCCTGGACCAGGCACACTCCTGGACCATGCAAGCTCCTAGACCAGGCAAGCTCGTGGAACAGGCAAGCTCGTGGAACAGGCAAGCTCCTGGACCAGGCACGCTCCTGGAACAGGCAAGCTCCTGGAGCAGGCAAGCTCCTGGACCAGGCAAGCTCCTGGACCAGGATAGCTCCTGGACCAGGCAAGCTCCTGGACCAGGCACACTCCTGGACCATGCAAGCTCCTGGACCAAGCAAGTTTCTGGACGAGGCAAACTCGTGGACCAGGCACGCTCTTGGACCAGGCAAGCTCCTGGACCAGGAGAGCTCCTAGACCAGGCAAGCTCGTGGACCAGGCAAGCTCCTAGACCATGCGAGCTCTTGGACCAGGCAAGCTCTTGGACCAGGCAAGCTCTTGGACCAGGCAAGCTTGTGGACCAGGCAAGCTCCTGGACCACGCAAGCTCCTAGACCACGCAAGCTCTTGGACCAGGCACGCTCCGGGACTAGGCAAGCTCTTGGACCGGGCAGGCTTCTGGACCAAGCAAGCTTTTGGACCAGGCAAGCTCCTGGACCAGGCACGCTCGTGGACCATGCACGCTATTGGACCTGGCAAGCTCTTGGACCAGGCAGGCTCGTGGACCAGGCCAGCTCCTGGACCAGGCAAGCTCTCGGACCAGGCAAGCTCCTTGACCCGTCAAGCTCCTGGACCAGGCAAGCTCCTGAACCAGGCTCGCTGGTAGACCAGGCACACTTGTGGACC